TGGGTGCACTTGACAAAATAGATTTCTCTGTGGGAGTCCATGGTCAATCACTGTCCAATGTGTTTATTGTCACCAAAAGCACAGACTAAAACAAACACAAAAATCCATTATTGTCATCTGTTTTTTTAGTGTAAACAAATCAACAAAGGCTTGAGAAACTACACAAAAAGTTAGTGAACACCAGGTGTCTCAAAGAAAATGCCAATATGAAAACATCTAAAGAAAAACTGTGATGATATGTTCTCTGTCTGAGCTGTCTCCTCTCACAACAAATGCTTCTTCTGAGGAGTCCTACAGGTTTGGCGGAAGCAAGATTTTTACTGATGTTGTATTAGTTTGTTTCCCACAAACAGGCTGATGGAAAAAGAAAGCAGAAAAAGGCTTCCCAGGCAAGTAATAAACGTAGTTGTTTCCTTGAAAACAATTCTAATTTGTATCTTTTTCCCCTTCCCCTGTCCATGTTCTTAAATCTGCTGCCTTTCTATGGTGTGGTATGTTTGCTGTTGTCCTGGCTTCCAAGGTATTGCAGGACATGTTACTTGCAGAATTGAAAGAAAGCTACCACCTCAGACTGATTTCAGTCTGTTCCTGATATCCCTTAATCCTTATCCTGCTATCACTAATGCACAGTGGTTTAGAGGCGTTTCATTATTGCATTTTACAGCCTTGTTTCTTATGTTATTCCATGACAGGTTCTTCCCTCCAGATGAATTTACTGAGACATCGTGCTAATAAATTATTCAGAAAAATTATATGATTTGACTTTCAGGAGGGTATATGTTGTTTATTCTCCAGGTGCAAAACCAGATAATACCTAAATAAGTATTAGGATTCAAGATTTAAAACTCTTTTCTAAAGTATAACTTCCACTGAACTCAAAGGAATTTTGCTTGAGAAAGACCCTAGGTTTTGGCCAACACCATACCTTCCTTTGAGGAAATACAATGTGTAGTGTACAGGAAAGCTTCTATTGCACTGCTATCAATTTAATTAGTGAATTTCTTCCTTTCTTTTTTTTATATATTACTGTAAATTCTGTTGAAGTCTTCAAGCTCCAGAAAGAGCCTCAGTTGTTCTGTTGATTCCTGACATGTGCAATTACATCTAACCTTTTCATGCACAGCATTATACTTGGTAACAAAGTGGATGCTAAATGCTTCCTATGCTTTGCCTTATTCTCTCCTTTCTCCTTCAGTGAGGATAGAAGCACTTTCTCCAGCAAGATACTTTGCACCCTCTACTAAACCTCAGGCCAATGGTAAGATATTACTAATCTCCAGTTATATCAAGGTGGGCTGATGGAATTTATACAAGTTCAGTTTATAGAAGTTCTGCTACAGATTTTGTTATTGTTTTATTTATTAAATAATCTGGGGGGGTTAGGGCAAAAAGATTATTTTTTAATAGTGTTAAGACAAACATACTCTTTCAATTTTGTAATGATTCATTTGCCTAGTATATACTGACCCTTAGTGGTAAGCCGTGATTTTAATTGCATTGCCAAGTTCCTAAATTTTGCTTCTCCCTTTGGCCCAACTGTTCAGAAAATGGCAGGAATATTTGCTGTGCATCAGGATAGTCTATCTATGTAAATAGCCCACAATGTCTTCATCAGACATTAACAGGCATGTGAAAATAATGACAGGTGTTATCAGCTCTTCTGAAGGGAGGGCTGTGGGAAGCAGGAGTGTCGAAAGGTTATTCCAAAATGCAAAACAAAAACGTTGGCATTGAGAAGCAATACTCTCCACATAATGAGAAACAAATAAGAACTCAGTATCTGGCACTAACGAACACCTCAAGCTAACTGTGGAATGAGTATTAATTAGGTTTCCAAAATAGCATCTTTCTGAAAAGCAGCTGAGGTGTAATATTGCTCCTTATTAATCAAAGCAATGGGACAATGAGAACTCTGCAAAAAATAAATGGTTTGCAGATGGCTGTGTGCATCTTTAATAATGACAGAAGAACACAAGTTACAGCTTTAAATGCCAGCGAGCCTTTCTGCATCTTCTTCTTTTCAGAGAGTGATATTTGCAGTTTTCAAGGCAGTGAGGAAAGTGTGTTGGTTTCTTATTACATTTTCCCTGCAGCATAAATTCTGTTGATGTGCTTCCCTAATCATGCTAATTATACTGCCATATGTTGCTCTCATCTTTCTTTTTCTCTCCTAATGGGACGTAGATTCTCTCTTTTGAATATGTCATTTGTTTATTACATTTATCAAGGGTTTTAACATTATATGGGGCTTTTAATTGCTTTTTTAAACACTCAGCAGATTGAATATTAAAAACAGACATGAAGGTCAATTATAAATAATATTTAAATTGCTCATGACATTTTTATTCTCTAATTTAAGTGGAAATATCAACTCTATAGCCATGCTCCTCTACCTACTCTTTACTCGAAAACACACATGTCCTCCAGAACTATTCTGGCTGCAGTCACAATTCTGTCTACCCCAAATCACCTTGTGCTTAGCAAAATAGGGGTCTTTCCCAGATGGGAATGCTAAAACAAAGATGCATTGTGCATCATATTAAATACTTGACACAAATATGCTGCCATTAATTTCAGTTGTGAACTACTGAAGTACCCCAAGCGATACAGGTGAGTGTTCATTTCTGACTGGTAAGAAAAATACAGCTGTCTCTCAAAATTGAGCAGTTTCAACAAAACAGGAAACACAATTTCAATAAATGAATTTAAGATGGCCTAAAGTTGAGTATTGTACAGAGATATTGGACTCTCAGAGTACCCACCACTACAGAAAACAATCAGTAAACCAGCTGAATACAGAGAAAGCAAGAGACAACCAAATACTATCCAACTACCAAACAATTTCTGGTATAATGACACTATCTCTCCTGGTTTTCATGGAAATGCACCACAGGTGAATTTGACCCTTTGACTCACTGAATTTGGATTGAGATAATCATATCAGACTTTGCACAAATAATTAGCAAATACTTTCATGTTACTTGATGTTTGTCCATGGTATTATTACACAAGTTCCAAAGTCCTTCTTGCAGGTTTAGGAGCGTTGATTGTAGGTCCTGTATGGTGATGAGACAGCTTTATAGCTACAGTCCAAATAAAAACGAAAAAACATCTGTTCTGCTTAAGTGGTCCATCTTAAAGCCAAGATTGTACCTACGATTTTGATTTTGACCACCTATTTAGGTATAACTTCAGGTTTGTAATAATGACCTATACAAGATGCTGCAAATGCATAAAACTCATCTGCTTAAAGATCATATACTATGTAATGTGTAGGAAAATTTTATTTGATTAAGATATTATCTGTCCAAGCTCAGCTAATATAAAGTTCTCTAACAATTCTCCCCAAAAAGGCTATAAGCAAAGGACTTGCCTAAGTACAAAGGAAGTATTTTGCAGGAAAGTTAAAACCAAAATAGTTAAAATCCATTTTTTTTTAATAAGCAATTTTTCCCATCTGTAACTCCATGGTTATGACTTGCTTCTTTGTTCTCCTGGGAATACTTAGACATTCACAGTTTGATAAAACTTCTGAATGTTTGCCCTGGGACACAGAAAAGGGGTCTCTGGAGACCCATTAAATACTTAAATGACCAGGAAAGGAAAATTATTCCAGGGAAGTAGCCTAATGTTTGCATAGTGTTTGACAGAGGACACTCTCTTTTACTCACAGTATTAAATGCCATTTCCACTAATTTTTCCTTACCATTTTTCAAGGATTTTTTGAAACATGATTTAACAGGGATGCACTCCCCTCTCAAACAAATCTTTGTTTGCTAAACTACTGTACACACAAATCTCTTTAAGCTGCTGTTGGAGAATGGTAATCATACTTACATTTTCCTCCTTCTCATGTAATAACTGTAGAGTCTATTAAAAATACACATTTTAGGCATTTACCACTTGTGATCTTCATTGGATAATTTGAAATTATTTTGGGTCACAGTAGTGGCTTGTTTGATTTCTGGCATCTCTACAACAGAAGAAAGTCCTTTGTGCACGTGCTGGAAAAAAAGAACTGTAAAGAATGAGGTATAAAGTAGTTGTCTTGATTTATTCCCATCATGTACCTAGTCAGGATTTGATACATGTTTGAGCCAATGGGATTCTTCCCATTTGTTTCCAATCGGAGTAGGAAGGGACCATGTTTAATCCCAGTTACACTTGTAAGGTAAAATATATGCAGCTATCTTCCCCAGAAATGCCAAGGCAGTGGAAAGGATTTGAAGAAAGGATTTATTTCGGAGGCAAAGACATTAAAACTTACAAACTTCTTGGCGCTGCAAGACAGCACCAGGCCTCACAGGGAAAGGCAAACCTCCTGTTCGCTCCCGGGCTTTATCATTGCTGGGCCCCTCGACACAGCGGCCCCATAGCATTTCTGTAAATGTTATCTCTCTCCTCTCACGTATCAGAGAAAGATGCTGAGAACTTCTCTTGGTATGAAGGGTGGGGAGAAAACATTGAAACTGCCTTGGAGACAGAGCTACCTTTAAGGTAGAAAGCCTTCCTAAGCAAACACTCTGTCTGACTCCTTGTAACAAAATGTTCTGGAGAAAGAAAGGGTATTCTATACTCACAACACTGAACTTGGATTATAAAATTTACACCAGTTCGTGGTGGTACCACTGAAAGTCGTACTGTTCCTGATGAGCTGTTGCTAACAAGAACAGCCTCAGTGGTTCCTTCAATTTTGACCCACGGCAAGATTTTTTTGGCGTAAAAAGTGTTCTATTGGTTATGTTTTTCTTCATGTGAGGGCTGTTTTAGCCATAAAGGCTAAGAATTAAAGGAATTTGTTTTAAGTGTGGTATGAGGATGTGAGTGAGTTTGTATGGCAAACTGATACAGTTATGGAAAAAGCCTGGAGTCCCAAGTGGGTGAAAGGGTTGGAACCAACCATATATGCTCTGTCACTTCTCAAAGACAGCCATTCACAAATGAGCAAACATGCTTCAGGAAAGCAAATTTTTAACTAACACTCAGGAGCTTCACAATCCTTGCCCTCAAATCAAATTTATTTGGGAAGATAATCATAGGAAATATGGACATATACAGCAGAATAAAAACACACAGTTGTAGATTGCCGTGTTGAAAATCAAATTAAAAAAATACTGGCTAGATCATAACCTATAACAATATTACATAATAGATCTGTCAGATATCTCAAGAGATAAAATTACAAAATAAAACTCTTGAGGACTCATCTATAGCTACAGCTCCTCAGTGTGCTCAATGCAGGGTACATGCCCATAATGCTGTGGGAGAGATGCATATACAAACACCATTCCTTATGGCCCCATGCAGTGTTTTGGTGGAGCAGCATTAGCAGGTTTCAGAGATAAACTACTGCTCAGGGAGAGGCTCTCTCAAGGAGCCTTTCTGCCATCCAAACACAAACTTCACCCCACGTCAAAGCCTTAACTAACACATGTTGGCTCTATCAGTCTTCTCCACCAAAGAAAATTTCTCCTCATCCAAACAACACACCAAGCTTTGGGTCATGTCCATGTAAAATCTTGCTAAGAATAAAGGAAAGAAGGAAGAAAGAAAGAAGGAGAATCATCTGGTATTAACAAAAAATTAAGCACTCTTTTTGTATTTCAATAACATCTACCACAGTGATTAAAACTGAATACAAATGAGTAAATAGGATTATTTATACAAAAATCACACTTCCAAATAATGAATGAATTCTGCAGGCAATGTCTACCTCCTGTGAGACCAGGGGCTCCTTCTAGCTTCTACAGTGGGAGATCTTGGGGCCACTGAGAGCCCCACAGGATGTTTCAAGTTCTCTGCAGAATCTTTTCTATTTTCTGCTTGTAGTTCCCGGTGAAAATTTTTGCAGAGTAATAAATCATAATGGGATAGAGACATAGGAAAAAAAAGTCAAGTTCAACTATGGTAAAAGTCTGGAATTGAAAACACAATATAAAGATCAAATTCTGATTGTTCCAGACTTTCAGTCTAAGTGAATCATAAATTACAATGTTGAAAAACAGTCAGTAACAAACAAATACCTAACTGGCCTAGTTTTAAAAGTCATCTCTTGTTCTTTTCAAATTTGATGGGAACTGTAGATGCTCAGCTTATCTGAAATAAGGTCCCAAGTTCTCCAATCTTAATGAAAAAGATTTTCCACTGCCACAGCACATGGCAACTTGCAGTTTAAAAAAGTCTGATATGACCATTATGTTCCTTCTCTTGTCATAAGGACAATAAGAAGCCATAAGATGGTTTACATTTTATTACAAAGGAAAATAAAGGAGTCCAACATTCCCAAAAAGGATGCAAAGGTGCACGGAGTGGTCCAGGCTACTAATAATTTGCTCAAACACTAGCAGAGAATATATAAATTCTTAACTCTTAGCAAAAAATATTGATTGCATTATAACATATATGATACAATTTCATTTGTTAACATTTCATTCATTAACTTCACTGTACAGAAATTTGTCCATGCTAAATACAAGCCCTGGACCAGATACACAAAACAATTTAAATGCATTTTTTACATCCTATATGCACAAACATTTCTTAAGTTAAAACTATGCATACTACTTATGCATAGCACGCATATGGCTTACATATTCAATGACAGGAATTCCACCTTTTGGCATGCTCTTATCCCACGGCTCAGAGCTTACACTGTTCCCAGCTCAGTTTTGATTGCTCTACTGTCAGAAAAGAGACAGTCAACAGGTATGAACATGTAAGGGTCCCTCAGTCCAAGGTGATAGTTTTACGATTCCTTCTTCAGTTAGGGCAAAGTGTGTCCTTTTTGAGGTTGAGCCTGATGCCTGTTGAGCTCTACTCAGATCCCTGAAACAGTAGATGAATGACACGTAGGGCTCAATCACCCTCTGCACAGAGGGGAGTGGCACTGCCCCATGAGTCCTCTTCTGAGCAGAACATGGCTGATTATAAACACTTTTTGGTCAGTGAGATAATAACCACAGGGTCCGAAAAAGAGAGCTGGAAGAGCAGCAACCTGAGCCACCTGAGAGCCTGCATCTTGAAGGGGAGCCTGGAAGTTTCCTGGCAGGTTCCAGCAGAGGGAAATGAGGTTGGCTGCAGCCACACAGGACACCCAGGCAAGTCTAGAGGGGTCACATGCAGCTTCAGGGAAGTGGAGATGAAAATGGAGTTTCTTTCTGGGCTCCTTCTGAGGCTTCTTGCAAAGGTAACTGTCCATGTGCTCTGGTTTTGCCACCCCTCAGAAAGAAACAAAAGCTAGCGAAGATTTTGCAGGTTGCATGTTGTTGACTTTGCATTTGAGATAAACCACAATATAAGGCGTCAGTGTCACCTTTCAATTCTGAGAGGCAACACATTGCTGAAGTGAAGCAATTTTCATGTATTCCTGTCGCTGTCTCTTCCACCCTACAAAACAATAAGCACCAGCTTCATGGTAGGGCTGACACTATTGCTGATGTCTTCCAAAATGCTCAGATATTTCAAATACTTTGTTTGACACCAGTTCTGTCCATATGGCAGCCACCACAGTGGGGAAGAATCATCATCTATGCAGGCTGGTCAGTGTAATTCTACAACTTCTCTGTACAGTCTACATATATTTATTTCCAGATATTTTAAGGAAACTAACAAGTAGGACTTTTATGTTGCATGCAGTATGATTGCATGAACAAGTATTTAGAAACACATTTCATTTTGACTTTCCATTTTTATTGGATGCCAGCAGCAGTGACATGTAACAGCAATCCCAGGCAGATGATAACGTTGTGTTTTCACATATCTTGTGGTTAACTGGAAATGTTTGATGTCAGTGATGCAACAAAGCAAGGTCCAACTTTGGCTGAAAATATTATTTTGGCTAATTTAAGAAAGCAGAATAGAAGAGGAAATAGCAACAACAAATACAATTGAAATCTTGCAAGTTGTTAAGTGCCTTGAGTTACCAGCTCAGAGTTTTACATTTTACACTTTTGAACAATTTGTCCATTCACTTTCCACAGAAACAGGATGATCCAAGAACAAGTTGACAGATAACAGCCTCTGAGAGCACGAGGTAGGAACAGCTAGAGTTCTTCTTTTCTCCTGCAAGAGAGGTCTAATGAAAATTCATAAACAATAAATTTTGGACACTACAACTTTCAGTATTTCATAGTTTATTGCATTATCATGCAGTCTAATTAAGGATTGAGAGACGTAAAATACTGTTTTTCCCCTCTTTATATTGAATGGTAAGGGGGGTATACTGTGTCCCCATTTCAAAATTTTCTGATAAAACCACAACTGCAGTAGAACAAAGAGGTTAATAATAGCACTAATCAAGCCTTTATGGTATAAAACTCTCCCCATTATAAAAAAGAAATTACCAAATTACCTGTCCTGCCTGAAATGTCAGAAGCTTTTAGGAAATAGAAAATCTAGTTTTGTATCAGTGCTTCTTTCTGCTCCGTGGCTTTTACCATATCTTCTGGCTTCTTACAGTGTTTAGGCTCACCTGGAAGATAAACAAATGAGACTGGTAACCTGCTTAACCGAGAGAATCTGCACAGTCATAGACAGACAGAATATTGTTCTTTAGACTCTTTTAGGGTTAAAATGAGGCTTCAGTCACTGCTTTCTTTAATTGCTTTCTCACCAGATTAAGCATCAGATTGAATTAACTAATCATTATGGTTTATCTGTGAGGCAAAAGATACAGAATGAAATCAATAGATCACAGCATGAAACAAAACTATGAACACATTTACATGAATGTTAATAAAGTTTGGTCTATTTTTCTCTTCTGCCTTACTGAAAGTCAAAATTCACCCTCTACAGGCAAGTGCTGTTTAAATCCTCTTTTAACTTAGGCTTTCAAAGCAGAGTAAGCTAAGATAATGAAAGATGCCAGAGTCAGTCAAGTTCTAAGAATTCAATTAATTCAATCAAATTGGAGGAATGACACAGAGTGACACAAGCAGCTTTCAAACTGTGATACAACATGAATTTCAAACCAACAATCATAATATTAAGCTGTTGCTCAAACTATTCCTTTAGTAACTTTGAACGAACACAGCTGAGGAAATTACACACTGAGATAGGTAGGCATGGGGACAGTGTAGCAAACTTACAGTGTTATTTACTAACTATATATAGTAACTTCTCAACTTTATCCAGTTGATCCAAATGATCCCACAAGAGAGTAGGAACACTGAACTGAAAATGTGAAAAAGGAAGAGTATAGAAGTCTCAAAAGTTGAAAAGATGAACTGGGAAAAGCATAAAATTTATAAAAATAAAAATAGAGAGGGGAATATTTTTGAAAGCCAGAAAACAAAGGTATGAGTAGCCAAAGGAAAAGCAGATGATGTATGATCTGAAAGGGAAATTGAAAGATGCAAGCTGAAGTTGAAGAAGAGGCTGATAGTTTAGAAAAGAGAATGAGAACAGAGGAAACAGAACTCCAGAGAACAAGAATGAGGAAAGAAGAAAATTAATACCTATCAGTCTACCATGGCTTCACTGTAAACAAGTCAGAATTGCTACTGATTTCACCCTTGTTTCATTGTCTTGAATGGTGGCAGAGTTGGTGCTGTCCACACTGTAGTGCAGCCATCAGCAGATGGGCCATATCCTCCCCAGGCAGCATCCTACGCCATCCCCCTTATTTTATATAAATTTAATGTAGGTGGGAAACAGACCACCAATATTCCAAAGGCTTTTAAAGACTCAGAATTAGACTAACATGAATTAGAACCAGATTTTTCAGCCTGTGGCTGTTTTTGGAGGGATTTACCAAAACTTTATTAGCATTATCCATTTAAAAAAAAAAGGGGGGGGGGGGGAGGGAAGAAGTATGAAAGTAAAATCTATTGATCTAAATATATAAATTTTATACTTGACATAGAGTAGCTTTAGGAGTGGGATAGAAGTGCTTTAGGGAGACCTTAAAACAAAATCTTTGTGCATTTAAATTTCATAAAACTAAGCATTAAGTTTTGAGACATATAGCTTTCTTCCCATTTCGTGCATCAGGTTTCTTATGTGATAAAATCTGCCCCTTGAATGGTTACTAATGGCTGTTATTTTATAAACCCCATCCTTTCTATAAACACATTTCCTGTTTTAATCTATCCTTCCCTCCATCCTTATCCTATGCATGAACACGAATGCCTTCCCTCACCATCAGGATCCTGTTGCCCTGTTGAGCCATGCACTGTGCCCAGGGAATGCTCAGGAATCAAGGCAGCACAGCAATCCGTGCCTGCTCTGTGCAGCTGCAAAGGGTCCCTCACTCAGCTGAGCACCACGGAGCCACCGCGGCACTGAACGGTCAGCAGGCATTTGCATGGCACCGGTGATGATCTGATGCCACCTGCATTCCCATAAATCAAACTAGCGTGTTGTTGGGTGGATAGTCCACTGCTATTTACGCTGTTTACTCTCCAGAGGCTCTCAGTTACTGCCTGCTGATGTTGTTGAATGTTTCGCATACCCAGTGTGACTGGGTAGTCCTCTGCTGTCATATAGAGTGAAATTACTGGTAATCTGTTTTCTCATAGATTTATTATCTCCCTTGCATTTTGATATTAAGGATTAGCATGGCTATCACTACAAGTGAGAAGTTAAAAGTGTGCCAATTAACATTTATAAATCATTGAAAGGTGGAGTCATTTAATTAAATATAAGCAGTTTTTAAAATTAATGTTCTAATTAATAAATCACTCAGGAGAAAAGGAAAATTATCACTTAAATACCACTCCCCCCAACCCCGACCTTATAATAGTTTCACTTCATCTTGTACCATTCAATTAAGTGAAAATGTGATGACTGCAGTTCTTCTTACAGCGACCCTCTGGTTCTCCCTTTGCATTGACCAGGACCCAGGGCAGAGCTATTCCTGTTACTAATTACTACTAATCTACAAGACTACATCTAAAAAGAGATGTGATACAAGGAGAGGAAAACAGTCCCTTTTTAATGGGGAATGCCCTCATTATACACATCCAAACATTCATTGACAGTGCCCAAGAATGCAGACACATCATTTTCCCATGTTCTCCATCTCTGTTATAATTGAATCACTTACTCAAAAAAAACTTAACTGAATTATAAAAGGCAGAGCAATGACAGGTAAAATACGAAATTTTAACATGAATAACCATGTTTCTTTTCTTCTTCCTTCCCATCTCATTCTCCCAGTCCCAGCACACACAGGTGCTCACTTTTCCACCCTGGGAGATGGAAGTGTTCTGTACATCACTTTAGCCTTGTACCCCCCCCCCATCCACAGTACAGAAAGAACACAAGTAGAAGAGTCTAGCATGGAGAGTGCCAGTAATGTTTTGATAGATGTATAGTGTCTCTTAGAACACTCAAATAACTCTAATTTGTGAAACAGATTAAAAATGTAAGGTCATATGTATGCTGCCTTCTGCTTGTTTGAAGTGACATTCCATTGAAAATGTCTGACCTTGGTTAAAAGAGTCCTGTCTAGATGCACTGGCCACCAACAAGAGTGAAAAGTGGGGATGCTACCCATGCTATATCTCCCTTCTGTGCTGAGTGCTATGCTGAGTGCTACTGCATCATGCACAACACACTCACCTTGACCATCTCAAACACAGCTTACACTGAGAAAAAGGGGGGGGGGATGAGAAAACAGACTGCTGTGCTGTTTGAGGCTATGAGGCTTCTCCATACAATGCAGCAACAAAAACTCTTCAATAACACTAAGTACCTACACTTAGACAACCACAGTGACGGCTTAATGGCTTCCTTCCACTTAGAATGATAGTAAAGCATTTTACCACTGTAAAAAAGAAACTGAAACATTTTAGCCTGACTTTCCCTTTGGTATGGAATATTGCCAACTATTCCAATACTAAATGCCTGCATAGCCTTTCTTTTCTGTTATCTCTTACATGATGGCACTGTTTCTGCAGCTGCTGAAACCCAATAATTTAATACTATTTCAAAGAGCCAGGACGTGGGTTTGTAGAAAGTCTGGCTGCTTCGGGCCAGTGCCAGTAAAGGGATTCACATGAGCACTGTGATGTATTATGACTGCTCTATTTTGCTGTGTAACTTCTGTTTGTAGTGTTCTTTCAGTGCATTTTGCATCACTGATAAAACAGAAATCCCATGTAGCATCAACTACCTTCAAACAGGTAAATTTGATATTAAATATTACACACTTCATGCGTGGAATATCTAAAAGGTCAGAGAGTATTGGATTCTGACACTAATATGCTACAGGAACAAGGGAAAACATTCATCAAGATCTCCCCTTACCTGGATATTTATCTATGCTGGAAAAGGAACACAATCATTGAAGGAGATGGATGAGAGCAAATTCAGCATGCCACAATAACCAGATGTTTTGCATAAAATGACAACTAAAAATGCCTTCAAATATCAGATGCCTTTAAAAACAACACCTAATCAATACCCTTATTCTATGTATAGTAGCACTCTAGTAAAAATTTGTCATAATGTAAATCAGAAATCCAGTTTCATCTAATGGTTTTCTGACTTGAGGGACTATGAATTACTTATGAGGGGATACATGAAGGGTTCATGAGACTAAAAGAAATGCAAACTTGCTTTCTGTAGGCTTAAGCTGTCTGACCAGGGATGCACATTTCAACTAGAAAAATTTTAAGGATTCACAGGTCTAAATAGGGGGAAAGTCTCTATTCTAGAACTTGTGATCCAAATAATTTGGAATTCTCTGAATTTACCATGACAACAGCATTTTACCAATATAATCTCTCATGATAACACCAAGAATTAATGATTACATCTGTTCACAGACTGTATCAGATGAACAATTTTCAAACTAATTTGAAGACCTGTTCAGAAAAGGATTTACAGCTGCTGGACATGTGTTCAATCAATGGTATGAGCAGTAGCCTTTCTACACATTTTCACCAGCAGGAAAAGGCACAGCTTGTAAAGGAGTTGACATAGATGAGTAGTTTCAGTGAAGAAGCCTGTATTTCTATACCAAAACTTTCTGTGGAATCAGCAGCAACTGAGATGTGTGCTGCAAAACCTACAAGATGTGGAGATGTAAGTTGGGGGATCCCAGTAAGGGAGCACTGGCTCATTGCTCAGCCTCTGCAGTTGCCTAAAGAATAATAAAGAATGCTTCTCTTATGATGTGATTAGTCACTTAATGCAGTTATGTCTCCTGCTATATGTTCACATTTATTGCTGAGCAATGTCCTCTTTGTGAAAGCCCTGGTTTTTAGTTCAGGACCTTACCAATACTATTTAGCTTAATATCACAGAATATTAAATTAAACTCTTATTTCTGTTTCATTGTTAATCTGAACTCTTTTTGAATATTGCTATCTCTAGTGAACGAACATCAGAAAATTCCCTGCGTTAGAAAACAAATGAGATTAGCAAGCTCTAAGATAAGAAATCTCTGTTATCATTGGAGAGGTGAAATGTAAAGATTGACAAGGCAACAGAGTGAACTGATTGCATGCTGAATTGTATCTGATCTCTCAAACACCATTTTTGTTGGTCAGCCATCTAAAGACCTACAAGGACAGCTACACCACCACTGTCTTCTGCAGAGTCTGAAGTTTTTCCCACTGTGTTCCTTATCCAGGAGATGGAGAACTTTCCTAAGGCACTTTAATTTCAATTTGGGCTTTAATACAAAAACCAGTGTTACATGTCAAAAGATAAAAATGTCAGTTATTAGACAGCTTCAAATGGTGTGAAAATAATTTTAGTGTAAATATTTTGATGTAGGACCCTAAATTAACCATCTGTTATTTCTGATGGAAAAAAACTGTCAACAATAAAAGCATGGAGCCCTGAAACACAGAACTCTAGAATAAGTGGGTGTTCTCCATAAAAAGCACTTAGGAGAAGCATGCCAAGTCATACACTCATGTCTAAGCTAAGCCTTACAAGCACTTCAGTGTTGCTGCTCAGACAATGCCATACTCCTGGCACAATATTGCAAGGCTTACTGTCATAAAAGCATTAATGAGATTTGAATTTTAATGAAAAGTCAGGAATAGAAGTGTCATTATGTCTCTTGATTATTCTTATAAACCTAATATCTCAAAGCTTATTCTAACTATAAGCAAACTCATAAAATAAAATGAAAATGCACAGTGTCTTTCTCTTCCTTTGATAACATCTATTCCTATTGCTTGGGCATCTTTTTCTTGATACTGTGCTGCAATCACCAGATACCAAACATGTTCATCTTATGATAATATACTTGCACACTTAAAACATATCCTGACATTTTAGGGATTTTCTGGATGCTCCGAGTGTCCTGCCCCTACAGTCAGGAGACTGATTCTCCTGATGAAGAGAATGACACAGTCCCATGACTACAGTCAGCAAATTCCATCTACCTTAACTCTAAGATTCACACTACATTTAGTATAAAGGATGTGGTTTACAACATAACAATCATATTAGGTGCCTAAACTAAGGGGAGTATATTTTAATATTATAATTACCTATTCAAAGAGAAAATGTTTGGATAGCTCTATTTTGAAAGTTTACCTTATTCTCCAGTAGCAAAGGCTATTTAATTGCAAATATGTGTCTTTAAATTACTCCAAAATCATTCTTCCAGTTCAACTAAAGTATATTATATAAAAACTTTTCTAGTGGATACCAATAGCTGATATCAAAAAGTTGATTTTTTTTTTATATCAAACAGCTTCTTGATGGTTTTAGAATGCTAGTACTTTTACACATGCCGAAGAAACTGTCTTATGCTGGTGGTCTGTACAACAGCTTATTTCAATATTTTACATTACTGTTGATGTTTGACAGGGAGATACCAGACATTGCTGCAGCTTCGCCCTGGGCAGCTTCATTAGACTGGCTGGTGTTGTGAGATGAAGCATTACCATTCAGTGGGTCTGTATTCTGTGTTTCTTGCTGGGCATCGGTGAGATCTTTCTGGTTCGGATCAGAGTTAGTGCACTTTTCTGAGCTGGGTTCATCACTCAGAGGAGTGTCGAAAGAGACTACTTGTAGGACGATGGATCTGGGAGGACAGGTTGTACCATCACTTCCCTGACTACTCTCATTTTGTATCTTTGTTGTCTCTTCCTGTAACTGTGCATCTGTGGAATTTCTGCTTTGGTCTTTTTCCTGTTCACCAACATTTTTCACAAGTTCTACAAAGAGGGAACAAAATAGGTGAATTAGATAAGAAGGATATGTCACAGTTTTTTGATTTCAGAGTAGTGACAGATAGAGTTGCACATGGGAACACTGTGAACATGAGGGCATGCCCACTGCTATGTTTAATATGGTTCAGGTTCTGCTTCTGCTTGCACTACTGCAACTGAACCAAAGTGGTCCTCTTTCTGGTTTGGTGTACCTCTTTTTGTGGCCATAATACAGAGCAAGGAGCATCACCAGACACATGGTAACCTGAAGGATGGGAGCAGGAGGACCCCATGCTGCAGGCATGTCCCCCTGCAGTAGTGCTTACCACTACAGGACTAGGAAGCACAGAGCTCATCACTTCTGCAAGAGAGAGGGCATGGAGGGGAGCACCTTGCTCAGGATGAGGCAAGCACCAGAACTGAAGGGAAGCCCTGAAGGAAATTGGCCTGGCAGTCTGGAAAAGTCCAAAGCATCAGCTCATACAGAGGTTCAGCTGGATCAAGTTATAGGGGGTTACACATATGCTATCCAGTACTGCTACCATTATGGCTAATGGCAAATACAGAATGGGAGAAATTGCACTTCAACTTCAGGGGACAGCAGAAACTCCCCAAAAATAGTGGTTTTGGAAGGCTCTACTTGCTGTATTGCAGAGATTTGGAGAACAACAAAAAATTAAATGGCCCAGAGTAAAAGGAGACAGAACAGAGCAGCACAGAGAGATAGTACAAGGAGTAACTAGAAGATGAAAAAACCCCCCAGAGAATGGAAAACTTGTGATGGCAGGTGAATAGTACCACAACAACAACAAAAAGTACCATCTTCATGGAGCGCCTATTTCTCATGCTATAATAATCTGTATCTCATAAATTTAGATAGTAAAATCTGTATACTCCTATAGAATATACCAAACACTATCAATTAAAAAAATGAAAGCAATTGCAGTTTGAACGACACTTGCACAAAGCAGCTGTATGATATTGCATAAAATTTCTAACTTGGATGTGCACACTATATTATGGAAGCCAAACATTGGGATACTTATTGAGTTCAACTGATAGCTCCCAGAAACTCTGATTTTGAGTGACCAGTCCAAATTCAGACCAGAACTGATTGCACATGACAACTCAAAGATAGCCCAGACTGTAAGCGTATTTTCACCACATCATCATTTGGCACCACCTCACTTTTCTGAACCCAGAGAAAAGGTCCATGAAATAGGACTGAAAGGAACACCTCCAAACCTGAACTGATATGCAGAAGCACAGAATAGCTAAATAATTTCCTTCTTTTGTCAGTTATACTTTCTAGTATATTTTTTTAAAAATTGAGAACTTCAAAATTTGAGCAATTTCTAAATTGTTAAGCCATTATTTACCCAACTTTAGAGACCTGCTGGTTTTGGATTCCAAATATTCTGAAACTTAGACAGTTACTCTTTTTTTCTACAGATTACAATGCAGTTCTTACAAACAAGAGGTTGGGTTAAAACCACTAAGAAATATGTATATGGAATTTGATGCAAATTATGTTAAATCTAGATATGTTAATTAAAGCATTTGCCACTCATTATATAATCTACCTACCCAAGCATTTTTTTCCCAAGAAAGTGATTTACATACTATATTTGCCTCCAAATGGCGGAGCAACAAGCATTTTTCCTTAACTTCATAAAAAAACACAAGGAAATTAAAATACAAAACATTTTAAATGCTATTCAGATACATCAGTAAGTTAAAGAAAGCAAAGCAGAATTATAAACACACATAAAACTGTAATATTATTGTAGTTTACCTTGGTGAGCTTTTTTAACCAGAAAGCTAGTGAGAAGAGACAGTAGTTTTCTCACTGAATGTTTTTTTAGGATGATTCTAAACAGAATTCAGGTTTGTCTTGGTGTAACTGTATGGCTGATCATTCTATTCTCATATTAGAAGGTTCAGAATATTCATTCAAGCAAAACCCATTATTATATTTTTGGTTCATGAAGCTGAATATCTAAACTTAAAATTGTTCTCATTCACTCCCTACCAAACTTAAACTGGCAAATGAAGATTGACAGTTTAATATAACAATGTTGATGGCTTGCTCTCTAATTTCTATCACTGTCCTTGAGATGATCTCAAACATGCCTGTTTAAGGATACCTAAAACCGAGTCAAACTCTGACTCAGGACTATCATATCTGATGGAGAGAGCTTTGACATAGAGTTTCTCTGCACCAAGATACACTTGATAACATAATAGTTAAATGTCATGCCTATTGCATTTAAACTGCTGGGAGACTATTCAAAAAGTCCGTAGCAAAGAATAGGTGAGAAAAATATTATCTTTTCTAAAAGCGTGAAAAATACCATGGAATTCTAAAATCTGTGGAGTTAAAACCACTGCTAAACAATAGTTTTTATATGATGATAGTAATATCTGTGATTATGATTCCATGGTGACTAAATTTCAAAGTCATTCTCAGTTAAATAAGCTTGAAAAAAAAGTAACTTGTCCACTTGGGAAGAGTTTGTTCAGAACAATCCTAGTAGCTCAACTACCAGGAGTAGTTGGTAAGAGTAACTGAGACTCAGAAACCTCAAGTACAAAATCCTCTATGATGATATCACAACTGTGATTAAGAACCCCAGTCCTTTTTCTTGATATTAAGTCTCTCACCTGCTGGATATCCGACTCTATATTCTGCCTTACTTTGCTCCACTCAGCTTCAAAATCTATTAAATCCACTGCCAAAAAGAGGAAAAATACTGGGTTCTTGTGCTATGTCAACCACCTGTGAAATATGTTCTATGTGCTGGCAAAATACAGATTTCTGTTTTCTGTAACAGCTAATAATTGTATACTCCATAGGACTTCTATACTGCGTATCATCATTGGCATTTTCTTTAATTTCTGCTGTCCTATCAATCTGATGGAACAGAATTAGCCAGCAGTCTTTAAATGAGGCTGAGACAGGGACAAGGACCAAATAACTAAAATTCAAGCAAGGCACTGATAAGTTATACTACTCACATAGTGTAAGAGTGTAAGAGAGAACGGAGTTGGCATGATGTTGCACAGTAAGAATAAATATTTTTTATTTGCAATAAATACTGTGGTGGTCTCTACTTCCAACCAGCCACTAACAGCCAGGATCCTCCAAGGGAAGTGGCAAGGCTGCTGCCCCTCACCAGGCACTGGGCTGCTGGGAAGAGCAAAACTCTCCCTTCCCTATAGGCACATGTTGCCATGACCAGCCAGAAAAAGAAGGGGGGTATATTAAATAAACAAGGTAACCTGGCATTTACAGCATTGCCAATACTCAGTGAGAGTAAATAGGTGAATATGGTACATAAGATTAAACAACCATCCATTCCTCAGAAAAATTCCTCTTTTTTTATGGGGGGATGGGGTTTTGGGACTGGGTCAGTAAGGCACTGAAAACAGCTTAGGCTTTATCATATCCATTCAGATAAAGGCAGGGAGAAGTGTATTGTTAAGTGCAGTGAACTCAGGTATGTTCTACTGTTGGTTTTCTCAGTTTTAACTTGGTAAAAGTGCCAGAAGCCAGGCCTGTTTACATATATTCAACTGTTTGGTAATGTTTTCTTTACAAGAATCCAAGCAAATTCAGAAAAATTTGTGTGAATTCATCTATAAAATAAATGGCTTCTCCTAACTGATCTGTTAGGGGTGACGCCATCTTATTCCACTCTTCTATATTTCTGTGCCATTTCTGAACTTCAGTCTTAAATCACAGTCCTTTTATGAGAAGGAACAGTGGCATTTGACACATAAACAAGATAGAAGTTGTGTGGTTCTTCCCTTGTGTTTAGGCTGGGCTGTTGGCAAAATACTTGTTATGCGTTGCTTTGTTTGGAAAACTGGCAGGACTCTTAAGGCAACAGCCAAATTTCAGAATAGCTGAAAAATGCTGGTATTCTAGCACTGTGCTGTAGGGCTCTGTTATCTCCAAAGTATGAGTGCTCTGCTGCAGAAGCTCTAGAGAGTCTGCGTTATCAACTACAACATTACTTGCTGCCAGCTCTGCTGTTATTGCCTGTGTCTGCAGCAACACTTCCAGAACATGGTCTAACGGGGGAGGAAATTTTTCTACATTTTTGAACTTTCTCTTCTGGCCATCAACTTTCTTTTCCTCGCCTTTCTGTGAGGAAACAGAGCATCCAACTACCATCATCTGTACAGTCCAGGGCTTATAAAACATCTTACTGTTTACAGCAACTGCATCACTTGAGCATGTACTGACTTAAAAAGAGTGGAGAGGAAGAACAAAAGCCATGTGTAATTAGGGTATCTCAAACCAGCAGTGACTGCCACAGCACTAAACTTCAGTAAAACAAGTATCTGCTGAATTACATTGCTATTTTCATTGGTTGTGTTTAAAAATAAGCTACCATAACTTTCCCTTAGAGAAAGACATAATGACATGAAAGTTTTAACAATTAAAAAACTACTGAATTAATGAGGAAAGCTGTTCATCTTCACTAAGAATTAAATTATTTGAGGACTCTGTAAAGAAGAATGTTGCTGGATATTATGGACTCTCTGTGTATATTACCCCAAACTTTGATTTCTAGTTTTGTTCTTTTTTACTGTAAACCAAAATTCCAAGAAGCAGTGACAAATGACCAAAACCAGGACAACATGGGAAGGAACTGCAACATTTTAAAGGACATGTTTGCACATCAGCTGTTTTAAAGAGAAGGGGAAGAGACCATCACAAAGCATAAAAATTTTTCAGAAAATGTGAGGACTTATCCTAGTGCCTCTGGAATTCCCAAGTAAGTTTAAAGAAATGTCCAAAAGTTCCCAAACAACTGTGATTTTTCCCAACCAATCTGCCATTTTCAAACTAAATAAAATATTGCAGTAGCCTACAGCTTTATTTAAACACTGATTCCTTCCTCTTTCAACTCCCTCCACAAACTTCATCACAGATATAGAAGTATATAAAACCACTGCAAACCATGTAACCCAGTGGCACTTGATGTTACAGCATT